AGTGGAGCTGATAAAATGGACAATGAGGGCAGAAAAAAGGAGGTGGTTTTAGTGGTATGGCAGATGGGTGTAAGTAATGTAACCTTATTACATTTCGGGAGAAGAAAATAGTAACTTACGTTTCATTTTTGAGTAATTACCCCAACAATGGAGTTAAACACTAGCATTCATAAACACTAGCATTGTGTACTGCTGAGCCTGTGCAGCTATCTGTTTTGACTGAAAAAAAAAGTTAGCTCTGACAGTTGACATTATATCTTTTTGCATTTTTCTGCTGCACTTGGATGACTATATTTGATTTTTCCTCTCAACACCCAGAAATTACAAAGACGAACCTCCTTTCCAAAATGTTAATCACTGCAATAAAACAACAACAAAATAGCAAATAACAGCTATTTTAAAATGTGTAATTATGTTTCAGATTAGGCTATTTAACATCAACATATACAGTATGTCTAATATGTATTTTCATGGGGCCCTTGGTTTATTGGGTCTGTAGGCAGCTGCCTACCTTTGCCTAGCGCAATGACCATTTCTGATCATTGTCTGTGGCTTCCTTGAAAAACGGCAAATGAAAGACCCCAAGAGGAGACCAGGGGCTGTTTTAACGATACATATTTGACTTTCAGTAAACTATTTTGATGGTTTTTTTTTTTGTTTTGTTTTTTTTTTTATATGATTTCTTTTTTGAAATCATTACACTCTCACTATTAAGCATGCTGCACAGTTAGCATCCTGCCATTTTCAGGACAACAAAGCAGCAGTCCCAGGGTAAGAGCAAGAGGATTTGTAGGTTCCATAAACTCTAGTAAAGATTTGCTGTGAAGAAAGGTGCTGTTACAGTTGGCCATAGGACTTTTTTGCCCATCGGAAGAAAAGATGCACAGAAAAAAGTTGAAAAATGGATACTGATCTGTATAGCTTCATCTCCTGCAAGCATTTGTGCAAGCACTGGTCAGAAAACAGCCTCTCTTTAATCCTTCTTTCAGCAGATGTCATAAATACGTGACTCAAAATGACCCTCAACTGATCAGTGGTACCACCTGGTGGCCAAAACCTCTCAAGGGCACATTTAAAGCAACAGTTTCACAAAAAAGTAAATAATAGTAAGCTCCACAGACACAAAACGTAGACAGTGATAATACAACTTAAAGTGGGCATAAAGGACAATAACATCCCACTTATTTATGTAAGACCCAAATAGATTTTAGTCTGGGTAGATTTCAACAGCCTTACCATAGTTTCTTTATTATCTGTGCATTGGAATGACTATATTTTCGTCCACAAAACAGATTAAGATGATACTGTACACCTGAACAAATATTGTTTAGAGTATACCTTTTTTGTAATTATATTTTTTTATGATCTTACATACAGTGGACACACCTGGTTAGAACTGCTTGCTGACCTTGCCATGACAAAGCACTTCTGCATCTTTCCTTTGTCTAAATATTATTACGTAAAAATACAACATGGAAGTATTGTATTATTAGCCAATTTGAGAACAAGTCGGGAAATCATAACACAGCTAACCTCTGATATGCATCCACCCTGTGTGTCTTACACAGGAACTGTGTGACAGGTGCAAGAAGCACAGCTCTCTGAAAGAATGAGGGTAAAGTGAAAAGAACCAAAGAAATTTCCCAGCTAAGGACTCCATCAGCTGGTGATATGACAGAATGCAGAAAACATAATGTATTGTTTTTTTTTGCATAATCATTGCAATAACTGACTCACTATTAAGCACTAGCTTTATTGGCATCTTTGGTAAAAAAAAAATGGTATAAAATTATAAAAGGATCAAGGTGAAAAAACACATTTTGACATTTTAATGGCTTTCTCTCATTTTATCTTTAACTGAGGGTGCTAAAACTTCTGGAAAGCACTGAATGTTATAAGTTGTATTGAGGAGTCAAAAATTCCATGACTGGGTTGTACTGAGTCAAAAATTCCTCATGGGTGAAAAGAAAACCAACATTAAATAATTGATCAACTAGTATGATATTGTTACGGAAACAGTATTCCAAAAAGATATATTTATGCGTGTATGAAATATATGCTTGTATAATGATTGATATATGCTGTATATGCTTGCATTGTATTGTAATGTTTCATATAAAGAAACTATGTGGTGAATATTTACGCTTGTAAATTCCATGCTAAGCAGGCCTGGCGAAGAAATGCATACATTAAACAGGTATTTTATCAACATTGTAATTACAAATTAAGAAAAATTTCAGACCAGCCAGGCTAGACAAGATGTGGAGAAGTATAATATTCCAGATGGATCAAGTGTTCGCGTAAGAGCTTTCTTACACTGTTAATTTTAAATATATTAGTCAGTGAAGAGAAACCCAAAAAGTTAAGCTGACATTTTTCATAAGACTTCACAATTATTGTTATTTTTTTAATGTAATGTGTCTTGTTTTTCCAAAGAAGATAAAGAGCGTTTGGTAAATTTCTTTGCTTACTTTACTATCAAGATACAGAGCCATCGCTGCGCTATAATAAACATGGAATTCATTCTGCTATTGTGATTAAAGCTCTGCCTCTGTCTATTGTTAGATCTTGTAAAAGCCATTGGTTTAATTTCTTTTGAGTTTTTGAATAATGGGGTTAGTACTTATAAGGCTTTTTCTTTGTTGATCCTAAAATGATCATAAAATGCCAGTTTTTACTGGAATATTACAATATGAGGTTTTAGAGCACTCCTTAACTGGCATTAATTCACATTCATTTAAATTCAGAAATACACCACATGCCCTGGAAAATTAATTCATTACTTCAATAGTGACTGGAATCTGATGTTCATTTTATAGAGAGAGTGTAGTATCGTCAGCAAGTTGTGTTATAATTAATTCAGTAGTAATCACAGAAACAGGAAAAGGTAGGCAGAAGCTGGGCAGCTTGATCACTATCAGAAGAAGGTATGGAGAAGCTGGGCAGCCTGATCACTGTCAGGAAAAGGTAGGCAGAAGCTGGGCAGCTTGTACACTGTCAGGAAAAGGTAGGCAGAAGCCGGGCAGCTTGATCATTGTCAGGAAAAGGTATGGAGAAGCTGGGCAGCTTGATCACTGTCAGGAAAATGTGTGGAGAAGCTGGGCCGCCTGATCACTGTCAGGAAAAGGTATGGAGAAGTTGGCCGGCTTGATCACTGTCAGGAAAAGGTATGGAGAAGCTGGGCAGCCTGATTACTGTCAGGAAAAGGTATGGAGAAGGTATAAAATGAATCCATTATCATTAAAAAGTTCTAAATAGTCTAACATATCCAATACAATTTTCTTGTTTTATATGCCTATTTCTCACAAAGCCAGGTTGTACTTCTTTAATAAATTAATCCTACAACCTGATGTATTGCTCCATGTAAACAATCTACCCTCAGCAAATTTAACTTTCCAGAAAAAATGTACAGGGTGATTAAAAAAGATTCATCCGATTTCAAAGCAGCATATTTTTACAACCGTGAGGCGCCTAGGAACTAATCACATACCAATTGAAAGAGGGAGTTTCTGACTGTCAGCACGGCAGTGAATCTCCAACAGTTTAGAGCATTCGTCATTGCCAACAGTTCCAAGATAAATGTCACCAGCATCACCACATCTCACGCCGTGTGACTTTTTTGTGGGGGGTACGTTAAGGATTCTGTTTATGTGCCACCACTCCCAACAGCACTGGATGATCTCCGAAATCACATTGAAAGAGTCATGAGTACAGTGACACCCAACATGCTCAACTGAGTATGGGATGAATTTGACTTTTGATATTGTCCATACAGCTGAAGGAGGTTCATATTGAGCACTTGTAAAATTACATAATAAACTTTACGCTCACTTAAAACATTTACAATTTACTGCATTGTTCTGTAATGATTTACAAGTGAAATAAAACATTTTGAATTCAGATATGAGACCAAATCTATCCATAAAAGCTTTTAAGATTGAGCTGTTCCTTTATTCTGGATCAGGAGGCCATTTATCAACCATACCGTCTAAGACAATATTAAAGCCCCCTCCTATCAACAGAAAAGCATTTGGATATCTAGCTAACCATCGACGTTCATTTTCCAATTTACTACTGTACCCATAAATGCTAGCAATGATGATAATGTCATGATCATTATTACTGGAATGAGATTCTTGTAGAAGAAATATGCCCTAAATTGTTTGGCAAACAAAAATAAAGCTTTCCTGTTAACTATATTATGTAATCCTTGAGTGTTAAATGAAATAAAGGATAAACTCGACATACTAAGGTGAACAATTATAACACACACATATTATCTAAGCCGCTTATCCTTCTGGGTTGCGGGGGTGCTGGAGCCTATCCCAGCAGTCATTGGGCAGAAGGCAGGATACACCCTGGACAGGCCGCCAGTACGTCACAGGGCAGACACACAAACATACACATTCACACACATGTTCACACCTAGGGGCGATTTAGCACGTCCAATTCTCCTGACTGCATGTCTTTGGACTGTGGGAGGAAACCCACTAAGAAACAGGGAGAACATGCAAAACTCCACACAGAAAGGACCCAGGTTACCCGGTCAGGGAATCAAACCCAGGCAACAATTAAAACAGTGACATGAGATAGAAATTAACAGTAATGTAAGTTAGTAGTCAAATGGATTCCAGATCCGCACCCACTGATAAGAAACTTCAAGTGATATGAGTGAACTCTTTTTTCCCTCACAATTTGAAGTACAATACGTAGAGATAAAACGGAAATAAGGTGAAGGAGACGAGCAGTTCTGTTCGTCTGATCTTGTAGTTTGAAGGCGTCATTCTGCGCTATGGTAGTTTCACTCCCAACCAGCAGATGGCGCACATGAATGGCCTTTGTTGGCTGCTTAGGTTTTTCTTTTCTCTCAGTGCCTCGTTGCGAGGACCACCGCTGCCATTTTGTTGTTGCAACGGAATCCTGAAAGCGTTGGACGCTTATTTTTTGTAAATGAGTAAAAATAAACCGTTGTAATTTGTCGTGAACAACTCCGAGGCAGAATGCTGTCCGCCGCCCAGCTCCTCGACGAGTTAATGGGCCGAGATAGAAACTTGGCCCCCGATGAGAAGCGCTGTAACGTCCGCTGGGACGACGAGACTGTGAGTCACTGCAGATAACGAGCACCTAACGTTAGCTTAGCGAGCTAATAACAATTATGCTAGCCAGAATTTTAGCTTAAAACAATACAAAAAATAACGCTGCTTATTTTCTTAAAGTACTTATGTTCGGATCACGTCAGATGTTGCGAGATCAACCAAACTAACGTAATCGACGTCAAATTTGCCTGCGTGATGTAGCGGTATGTTGTAATACGGTGCTGCATTGCGCGCCACACAAGTAGGTTAAGTGTCTAGCTAAACTAGCTTGCTAACGTTCTTAGATAGTTTGGCGTTTTTGGCAGGTAGCTAACTAGACAGCCTGGGCATTATCAACCAGATTCATTTCTAAGCCTGTACCCAACGAATTGCATTACCCTCGTATGTGAGCTCTTAACAAACGTCCACGAGGTTGTTAAAATGTCTCCGTGCTGTTAAATTGTGTTCTCTAAGCAGGTGCGACCTTTAGCTAAAAAGCGCTCTGAGCTTCTACACGGTGGGCGGTGTTTTAGCTGCAGCGACTTGGCTAATGCTAAGTTAGCTAAAGTTAGCGTAGTATGTTAGCGTCCCCCTAACTAAATATAGATAGGGGTCCTCTCAGGTCTTCTGTGCCCAAGTGCTTACTGGTCAAGTCAAAACAAGCTACGAGGAACTAGGATTGTAGGGTAACTTAATTAATAAAACACGTAACGCTAACGTTATTAGATGATGTTGGGCCTCTGTTTCATAAGCTTGACTTGATACGCGCGGCAGTTTTTTTTTAAAGTTATATAGTAAGAAGGTAAAGTGCTCCCCGAAATCATTGGTTTGATGTGAAATGCGCCGTTCTGGAGAAACTTTGCGAGTCAGAATTATTTCCGGGGTGGTGATAGGAACCAGACGACTGAAGCATTTAATGCCTCTAAAAGCTACTTCAAAGAAAGTTAGTACTTGAAAGGTTTATGGCTGCACTTCCTTATCCCTGAGATACTGTTCATGGTGGAGAGATATCTGTAGGTCGCTGGAAGGCAAAATAGTGCCTAAGGTTTTTTTTCCGTAGTACCACTGTATTACCATTACTAACAGGACATGTTAAAGTTCAGAAGATGTGTAGGATCACTGGTCGTATTGGTTAATAAGTAAAATAGTTATGTTTGTTTTGTAGATGTCACAACACTGGTTGCTATGCCCACTACTGTAAATAAATCTGAATTGCTAATTTCTTCTATAGTGCACCATTTCACATCAGACCACTGTGAATGACTTTGCTTACATCTCAGTGATTATTCTGAAATTCAGAAAAAAAACTTTATAGCCATAATAATAGATGAGGAGCGTTTGGGACGTTTTCCCTGTCACATAGGTAGTTGCCAGGGTTTTTTGCAATAGCATACTATGACCGATGTTCACAATGTTCTACACACGTAACTTGTTTATTTTAACGATGGCTGTTTTGTTCTAGATTTGATCCCTTGTCTTTCTTTTTTGGTCTTCTTTTTATCACAGGTCTGCAAGTATTATCTCTGTGGCTTTTGTCCAGCTGAGTTGTTCACTAACACGCGCTCTGACTTGGGTATGAATATGTTTCTTGTGGTTCTTTAGGATTAATTTAAGTAGCAGCAGTTTGTCCTTCAGGTATCTGAAACTCATAATGATGAAACTTTTTCCTTTCCTAGGTCCTTGTGAAAAGATTCATGATGAAAATCTCAGAAAAATGTAAGTGAAATATCCTTTTAAACTACAGCCTGTTTTGTAGTAGGTATTATCCAGAGTTTGAAATAACATGGTTATGTGTGGGGCAGGTATGAGAAAAGCTCCCGTTTCATGAAGGAAGGGTATGAGAGGGACTTCCTGAGGTACCTTCAGAGTCTTCTGGCTGAGGTGGAGCGCAGGATCAGGAGAGGCCATGCCAGACTGGCGCTGTCACAGGCCCAGCAGAACTCTGGAGTATGTGAATATAAAGCTTTTACTTCTTTTGCAGTCAGTCTTAATCACCTGTGGTTAAATAGCCATGAATCTTGTGACATCTTGGGAGAAGATGTGTTTAAATAGCAGTTTTGTTGGTGTACTTTTTTGCTTTTAAAAGTATTTTAACTGTTGCGGTACCACAACTATGCTTAGTTTTGCCCATGCTTACAGGGACCTGGCCCATCTGGGAAGAATGAGGAAAAGGCCCAGGTGCTCACAAAGAAGATTGAAGAACTTGTCGTCCAGGTATGGTTGTGTTGTGTATAGAGATGCAATACTGCTCCCGAATATTGGCCCAAAAGCATCCATGTTTACTAGTAAAAATGTATCGATACCGCGTGATACCATGTGACGTAAGCCTAGGTATGCTGCCACTCTAATGAACATAACACTCAAGCTGGTAGTGAACAGAAGTCTCCTTGCACAGAGGAGTGTTGCTGATGGCAAAAGTTGGACGCATAGTTGGTCACTTTAAACACACGCATATGAGGTTTGGTTTGTTCAAACGTACATTGTAAATTCTAATCAAAGAACAGGATTTCTAAAATCGCAAATTGTGTGCCTGGCTTCAGAGAACATTCAACTTCAGCTCAATCAGCCAGCTATTCAAGAAAGCTCCAACAAGATGTAGAACTAGAAATGTGAGCTCCTTAGATTAGCCTCGTGTGTGATTCCTGCTGTCAATTTGCTACAGAGACAGATGAGTGTGTATCAAAATCATAAAACATGTTTCTGTTTACTTTTAATTACTAAACGTACTTACAGCTGTACAGATGTGCTTTTCTTACTTGGAACAAAACCCGCTCTTCTCCACTGCAGTGCTACTCAATCCAAGGTAACAAATGGTGACTTACTTGTGTAGCTAAGTGTGTTAGCTACACAACAAGTCGCACCTGGCACCTTTGCTTAATAAGTCGGTAGCATATTTAACCATGTTAAAGCAGCCAAAACATCAAAGCCAGCCTAAAAGAAAATGAAAAACTCGTTACTGTTAGTCAGGTTTAACACTGAGCAGCTACAAATCAGAAGTTTTTCTGACCACTTCATATTTCAGATATGCCTTAGAAACAAGGAAGGGAGATAAATGCTGCTTGTTAAAGAAGTGCAGCGAGGTGATTCCAAATGTGAGCAGGTATATAAGAGCAGGGTTAGCACTGAAATATGCAGTGCAGGAGTTCTTCAGGACCAGAGTTGGGAACCATTTTGAACCTATAAATTAGACTCTTACTCTTTGTAGCTGTTGCTTGTCTGAAAATATCTTGTTAAACCATGTAAATTAAGAGCCATCACAAATTGCATTGGCAGGATTTCCAACTGCTGAATGTTATCTTTCATATGAATATGGCACTTATGAACTTTACGCAAGAAATTGATTGAATCTTAATGCGGTTGTAATAAGATTCTAATTTTTTAACATGTGTATTTGTTTCCAGATTGAAGAACTGGGCTCAGAAGGCCGTGTAGAGGAAGCACAAGGCATGATGAAGCTGGTGGAGCAGCTAAAGGAAGAGAGGGAGCAGCTCAGCTCAACACCTTCTGTGAGTTATAAATCTGTTAACTACAGTGTTTTAACAAATTTAACATCTGTTTCATTCTGTGGAGTTTTGGATGAACTTTAGTTTTAGATGGGGGAAGTTTTGACTCTAAATTGTTTATTGGTAATTTCAGACAATTGAGAGCTTTGCTGCTCAGGAGAAGCAGATGGAGGTTTGTGAAGTGTGTGGTGCTTTCCTCATCGTTGGCGACGCTCAGTCCAGAGTGGATGACCATCTAATGGGCAAGCAGCATATGGGCTATGCTAAAATCAAATCAACTGTGGAGGAGCTCAAGGTGAGTGTGCAGCATGTTCATGTATGCTTTAATGTGAAAGTAATTGGGAGTTAGTAGTTGAGAATCCTTGTTAATAATTCATGAAATTCATGTTTGTTTTTTTGGTTATGCAGTTATTTTTTGGTATGCTGACATTCCCTTAACCATCACAAAATGTGTTCAAGAATATTAAAAAGCTTTCTGATGTTTAAGGCATCTTGATTGGTTTACATTTCTGCCTTTGTTTAATCAGCATTCTCTGTAGCATACAATTTGAACAAAGCTGCTTTTAATGGCTTTTAGGCAAGCTGTATTTCGATTTTGGGCAAGCAGCTCCATTAAAAAAAAATGTATTTGCTGAAATTCTGCAGGAGAAACTTCGTCGGCGCTCAGAGGACCCAGAAAAAGAGGACCGGAATAAGAGGGAGAGAGAGAGGGAAGACAGGGAGCGCGAGAGAGAAGAGCGAGAGAAGAGGCGCAAGGAGGAGGAAGAGCAGCGAGAAAAGGAGCGGGAGAGAGAGAGGGAAAAGGAGCGGGAGAAAGAGAGAGAGCGAGAGCGTGAACGGGAACGTGACCGGGACAGAGAGCGGGAGCGAGAGAGACGCAGCAGACGAAGCCACTCCCACAGCCGCCACTCCAGCAGGGCATCAGATCGTCGCAGGAGCCGCTCACGGGACAGGAGGAGAAGCAGAAGCAAGGAACGGGAGAGGAAGCGTAGCAGGTGTGCATGCTCCAACCCAGGTCAAGCCCTCAGTAACAGTGTCTGTTATAAATTATGAGGAATATTAAACTGGATCAGCATATGGCTGTGTTGCACAGGCCTCTCCTCTTCCTGGAGTTACCAGTGCAGAGAACCAAATGTTATGGTTTCAAGTACAAAAATATCTGACTCTTTAAGCTAAGAAGAAAAATAAGTATCTCTACAACAGTGTTTCTCAACCTTTTTTTAGTTATAGCACCCTTGAAAGGTATGCAAAATCTTGTTACCCCAGTCTAAAATGTATTTTTAAAAAAATGTGCACTCTGCATCCCTCTGACAGCCAATAGGCACACACAACGCATGCGCTCGCTATAGCACATACGTATATACATATCACTGCTGAGATATCTCTGGATTATAGTCGACTCATGCAAGTTGCACAACTGTCGTTTCTAGAATTTTTTATCATAATTCCTTTTATAATGTCAGCATTGTTCAATTGTGTGTGTGTTTTGGGACGCCACTCTCGACGAAGCCAGATGGCACCCTGGTAGAGCTGCTCTACAACATGTTTGTTCCACCCAATGAGATTAACAGGCTACAAGATTTAGATAAACAAATCTGTTGAATTCATAGAATCATTAAACGTGATTACCTATTACATAGCTTTGGTCATTATGTTAGTAATGTTAAAAGATCTGTTTCTGTACTACAGTGCAGTTTTTCAGTGACTGTATGTAGCAGAAGCAGTGCTAAAGCAGACCATTATCTTGCCATATAAGCAGCCTTATTTAACTTTTTTCAGGTGAGGATGCAGTCACCAACCAATAGTACATGACTAATAAATGCACCAGAATGTAACCTGGTGCACTTGGCTAATGTTAACTTGGCATACTCTTTACAAAGTGATATTTTTTTTTTGGTAAAAATAAGAGCTAAAATAACCTGTTCTCTAGTTTACTAGCCTACATAGCATTGGCAAATAAATGTAACTGTTCAAAGTGAAAATTTGAAAAATAGCATTTGGCATATCAAAATATATCCTATCCCATGTCATGGACACTTGCTTGATAAATGCCATGCACCTGATACTGGTCCAGTAAAACTACACTGCAAAAAAAAGGATGCTGATTTGATTCAGATTATGTTAGTTACGTCAGATTTTTGAATAGACAGAAGTGGATGTCATATTCTTGTGGAAACGATGACGCACACATTTGAATCAAGTCCTTTTTCCCCCAGTGTAGGCTTGCCCTAGTCTTGAACTGCTTTTCCACAGCATGGAACTGGCTTAGCTCAACTCTACACTACTTGCTTTTGGCACCAGCTACTTCGTTTTCCACTTTAGGTATAGTCAGTGGTTGTCATAGCAATGCCACATGAAAGTACCGTGATGTAAAGGACACCAATATTGTTCAGAAGAGACTGGCAGCAAGACAAAAGACTACTGAAAAAGCAGGGGAGTTTGGGGAAACAGCACAGAGCTCAGATGATGAGATGAGACTGGTTGCTCAAAGGCGACGCAAGAGGGTACGCTAACCTATTAGCTATCGTAAGCAGATGTGTTGATGGTAACAGTTCTCTTTGACCAGTCAGTAGTCTGCAGTTTTTCTGCGTCACCTTTTAGTATTGGCTCAGCTTGATTGGACCCTCGACAAAAGTGATGCCAAAAATAGTACCTAGAAAACATAGAAAACCAGAAAAGTCGAGGTGAGTTGCACCAATTCCGTTTAGTGGAAAAGGGGCTTTGGTAAAGCTACGCTTGAACCTGTTATTGAGGTTCCAGTAGTGAATCCTATTCCAGTGCATGTTATCTTGCTTCACTGTTCATAGTGAGGGATACTTTAAATGTTTTTAATACTGTAGTTGCTATCAGTTGTGTGTTGAACACGCTTGGTTACTAGAACATTCTCTGTTGCTAATCAGGAGCCGTGACCGGGAGAGGAGGCGTAGCAGGGAGCGCTCGGACAGGAAGAGGCGTTCCCGCAGCAGAGAGAGGAGGAGGTCCCGGAGCTCGGAGCGCAAGAGCCATCGACACCGCAGCCGTAGTCGCGACAGGGATAGAGACAAAGAGAAGGATAGATCTGCCAGAGACAAAGGTAAGACCAGAAATCTTAGATGTCCTCCTAATCCTGTGACATAGGCCCCTTTTACATTGTGGGACAGGAGGGTTCTGAGTATGGAGAGTAACCATTCCCGTGGCATTTCCACGCGGATATGATTTGGCACAGAATGCATAGTTTCCTCGACACTGTTAGCTAACAGTACTCTGGGCTGCAGAAGTGGAGATATGGCCAAAAATGTTATCACGATAAACAAAATTCATATCAGTCGATATCGATACATATTGCGATAAATGTCAAGTCATTATTTCTTTCAAGTTTGAAGGCTGATTTTTGCTCCTCACTGGTTAATTGCGGTTTTAAGCTATGCTTTATGGTCAGAACATGACAAACACTTGCCAAACAATTCTCAAATCTGTCATGGGACAGTGGGAGAAAGTTTCTGGTGAGCTGTTTTTACCAGCTGGAAAAGCATGGCCGCAATTTTTGTAATATTCATAATTTAAGGAAAAAAAGCTTATTTTTAGCTGTCTGATGACAAGTGCTAGGCTATCCGGTTACAAATTTTAAACTGTTTAGTTTCTCAACAACGTCAACTTAGTACGAACAGCAAATATTAGCTGGCTCGGTAGCTCAGTGATGGATCACACCACCTTATTGCCATCCCTCTTGCCACATCCACATCAGAGTATATCACAGTATTCAGACACCAGCTAGCAGACATCTGGAATATCTCTATAGTAGTTTAAGGGGTAAACCGCAATATATCTAACACTAGACAAACAGAGTCCTCCTTTTAGGTATGTCTAAACTGAAATCGATGCTTTTGTGTCTTGTTTGATCTACAGTAACATCAATTTGCCGTGTTGTGTGAGTGACGGAGTGCTGCTTCATGTTAGCCAGCTGTAACTTGCATGAACCCACTTCTTTCTTGCACTTTTGTTGCTTGGAAATGCACTAATACTAAAATGACTATGTAGTTGTGAGGAGCAGACATTTTGTCGCTGCTAAAGCTTTTTAGCTAGGATGTTAGGAAGTAGGTGAGTTACGCACAAGATAAAATAGCTAAGCCAGCACTAAGACCTAGTACTAACTTGGGCAGGATGGTGCTAATTTAGCCAGAAGTTTAACAGGTCACTCACCATATTTGACTTTAGATAGATGTGGAACAAATGCTTGACACAGCTGCAATTTTAAATAGTCATCATTTATCTATTTTTGCTAACCACTTTGTCCTAACATGAAGTTATGAAGGTATGTTTTTTTTTTTTTTATGTATTTTTGTGGAAGCACTGTGAAAGCCTGAAATGTGTTCTATAACTACTATTCTGTATAAATATTATAAGCCCTCCAAGAGGAGTTAATCATTTACAAAGCATTTTTCAAGTGCTGGGAGTCTTTAAAATTCACCTCAGTGCATTTTAAAGTATTTTATTACCAGTAGCCACAATGCGTTGCAGCCTTACTGCTTATGCTAGTATGCCTACAAAAATCAGCAATATTTTTATGGAGCATATTGGATCTTGTGTCTAGTGCAAAAACATGCAGTTTCTCCTAAGTTTGACAAACCATGTCACATGCGTGTTCATCACTATAGTTGTAATGTAGTTCATCCATATCATGCAGTCCCTGGTATGTAAGTGTTTTGTGCTATTCCTGTAAATGAGATCTGTGCTGTCCCCTCAGAGCACAAGGACTCAGAAGAGAAGAAAAGTAGTGGGAAGGGCTCAGGCGACGAGCGGCCCAGTGAGCCCCTGAAGCCCGAGCCCATGGAGGTACAGCCTCCCAAAACAGAGGTGAACGGCACCACTGAAGACCTCCATTCTGAAGGTGACACTCAGTCCAATTAAAACTGATCTGATAGGACCTCAGATCAGCTCCAGGTAAGTGCACTCTCCCCCTCCAGCTTGGCTCCTTCCCCCTCCCCTCTCCCTCCCCCCTTTTTCTTTCAGTTATGTCTGTGATTTTTCTTCCTGTTTTTTAATAGTGCATCGTAAGTATGCACTGAAGATGGGACTAGAGGCTGAAACAGAAGAAGGTAGAATGAAACACAAACCCAGAGGGAAAAGCCAGTGTAGTCCTGAAAAACATGCCTGGAGGTACTTTGTTTTGTATCGGTCATACACATTTGTCTCTTAGACAAGTTCTCTTCCAAATTAAGGTTTTTTTTTGTTTTTTTTTTTTTAATTTAAATTTCCTGCCTCTACCTATATACATTTCTGAACCTCAACTGTTAACTCAATGCTCGCAGTAAGAAAATGCTGTGATATTTGTTTAATTGATACATAGAACATAAAATGGTGTGCCTATGTATGCATCCACATATATAAGCACACAGCAGTTTTAGCTGTATTTGTAATGTCTGAGGTGTTCACGGAAGGAGCTTTTTAAAAATTCATTAAAACTGCAGTCAGTATTGATTCTGTTCTCCAGTTTCATGGATGTGTGCTTCCTTGCCTTGCACTTTAATGCAGTCTGTTCTTAAAGTCGAGAGCCGATAGCATTGGGATGATGGAAGTGTAGGGTTAATGAATTATTGCAGCTGACTTCCATACCTCACACAGCGTTGGTGTTGTGAGCGACCCCATGAAAAGCCAAATTAAAAATCAAGGATACTGTCAAACTGTACAGGTACTCACCCAAGGTACTCCTTTCTCTACCCACATCCATTTGAATGCTGTTGCCTGTGAACGTGTTTCAGAGCTTGATGTTTTTGGTTTCTTTTCATTTTTTTTTTTTTCTCCAGTTACGGTTAAGATCCTCAGGCTTTTCTTTTTTTTATTTGTTTTTGGTTGATTTTGAAATGTCAAATGCCTACTGCACTTTAAACAAGTTGGAAGCAAAATGTTGGGCTACACAGATGAACCCGGTTGATATCCCAGAGTCGCATGTCATACACTGATCTAATCATTGGGAAATGTGATTTTTCATGCGAGTTGTGCTTTCTTTGTTACTAATATTTTTTTAATTTGATTTAAGCCTGTTTAATATTGGCAGTTTAATGAACAGGTAATCCACCTGTTTTTTGGAGATCACAACATACTCCACCTGTTATTCCCATCACTCGTCTTCAGTGGACGAGGGGATATCAATCGGGTTACTCTTATGGAGGGAAAAGTCAAACATAAGTGCATCATAAATAACTTTTAAAGTTCTGAGGTTTTGTTTGTGTGCTTTCCCTTAAACTTTTACATGTTGAACTGAATGGTCACTGAGTGTTGCTATCTAAAGTACAAGAAGGGCCAAAAACAATTAGGCAGGAAGAAGATAACAAAAAATCCAAATGTCCTTCTCCAGCCAAAATTGTCATTGCAGTGCTAATTACTGTCTAATTGGAATAAAAAGTAACCAATGGATTTACACCTCTGTGTTTAATTCTGTAGTAGTCCATTAGCTGAAGTTGTTTAAGTGACCATGAATATGATGAGGGAGTTTTTATTTTTTCCTATTTTTGTGTGCAGCAAATGACTGTTTTGCTGTGAGCAAATGGGATTTCAGCCACTAATTGTCTCTCTCTGACCATTTGTGCACGTCAGGGGGCGCTGGGACAGCTGAGTGAGGAAGACCCGAAGACCTCCTATCTTCAACATGTCAACTCCGCTGCTTAAAACAAGGTGAACCACAGATGTAGTGGCCTAAATAAGATAAAAGGAATAAATGTAAAATGGTTCTGTTGCCCTTTTCCAGCAGTATCACAGGACCTTGTTTTTACCATGTTTCTGTTCCTTCGTACTTAACTGTTATGAGCTTATAAGCCTTTAAGTACATGAAGGTCCGTTCTTACTTCTGTTAGTATGCATTTAATAAAAAGTACCTGTGACATGTTTGCTTTGTGCAGTTGGGTCTCACTTCACATTTTAGAATTGGAAAAGCAGTTTTGGAGTATAATGTACAGTGTTTGGACTCAGGCCCTGATTGGGCTGTCTCTCGCTTAGCTTTCATAATTTTTCCCCTCTCTGTAAGCTATATCCCAAATGTTTGATCACTTTTAGTTTAGAAAAGTGGATTTTCATTTTGTTCATATTTTTAAAATCCTGTATTTTGTCTTGAATAAAAAGTCAAAATGAATTTACTGGAAAGTGTCTTGTTAATTGATGACTGTTACGCTCTATTGGGGAAAATAAGGTTTAAGCAAATGATTGAAACTGAGTAAAGAATGTCATAACACCTAGTTACCTTCAAATCTTTCAATTTTTCAATGATTAATTGTCTAATTGTGATTCAGTGTAAAATACTTTTGTGTAATGAATAACAAATGGTTTGTTAGTAATCCTTGCTGTGTCCAGTTGTGAAGGGAAAGACTAAAAGTCTTTCTCTTCAAAGCGAGTTAACCTCTCTAGCTGTTGGTTTATGAATGTTTTGATGTTTGATGTTTTGACCTTGTCTTCACTGTTGAAACGGCAATCATTTACTTGAGCTTTTTGGTTCTGCTTCTGACAGCATTCTAGGAGTAATGATGTGACTAAACACAGTGTGTAAAGTGTTTTTAAAAGCAGAGATACACAAAGAGTTTGAGACAAAATTAAAAAAAAAATCGACATTTCATATAAAAACTCTAAAGAAATGTGCACGTTAGAAATAGAAGTAATGGTAAATGTAGATATTGAGACCCCTCATGACTATCACCGCCGCTGTAAAGAAGTCCGAGCAGGTAAGTTTCTCTACATTAACCCTTTCGTATGAAAAACACTGAATGAATGTGTTTAAGGTCTTAACGATTTAACTATGCTGTAATTTTGAAAAACCCCTTTAAAGTCACTGTTGGCCGTAGAAGACTTTCTCACGTTAGTAAAAGGCAAATTAAAGTTACTTTGTGCTGCCATTAGATGGCGTGATTTACATGTGACGGACTAGTACGAGAGCCCTGTTCTGTGGAGCAAAGGGACGACAACTATGTAAGATCACGACATGCGTTTTATAAGACCTGTACTATAATTTTGTGATGTGAAACCTATTTGCATGTTTCTCTCTCATAGACACAGGTCAGGGGGATATCCTTTCCCACCCTTCCCTTTTCCGCAAACATCCCAGTTTCTTCTGTTACGCAATAAGCAGTCCTTGAATGTCCGATTCGCTGTACGCTGATAAACCTCATCTCATTGGTGCTGTCTCACTTATCCTTCATTGGCGCTTGATGTTTACGTTCATCCAGCATCTTTATATTCTTACATTAAGTTCCGTAAACACTGCCCCCTCCTTCGGAGTGACGTCATGGCCGTAGCCCGCTATTCGTGTAACTTTTCAAACACGTTCTCGCGCTGCAGCTCGAGCTCTCAGTCTCAACGGAAAAGTGTCTGCGTGTGATTCACCTCCAAGAGTAAAGTGGATACTAAAGCGTGGCAGTGGGGTTTAATTCAGCGACACGGACAAGATATTTAAACAAACATTCTTATTGTCTTTTCGCCTCGGTCTGGGCGGTTTTAAGGAACTGCTAACCTTACGGGATATTTTTGGGACGGAGTGGTCGGTGAACAGACTACAAGAGAAGTACTTTCAAGGATGTAAGGCGAACAACAAAATGTGAATTTACAGTGGAAATAACTACAGAAGCGGACCAGCACGGCACCTCAGTCTGAATGGCAGTGTTGAATTTTACGCCGGAGCTCGGGTGACCTACAGGCTAATCTTTTAACGGTTGTTTTTACGGATAATGTTGCTAACACAGACATAAACTCGTTAATGAACGGTCTATACGGTAGTACGTGACTTGGAGCTGTATATTGTAGAGTCATCCGTTTCTGAACAAGAGACATTTTTTTCCAGCTGTGAGAAAATGATCTCGGAAGAAAGAAGCAACCAGTTAAGCAAACAAACCCTCGGTTTTCCCGTCGGATTATTAATCCGGTCACCGAAAAAAAGCCTTGCGAAGCTGGGGAGAAAACCCAGCAATGGATCTCTACAGTAAGTCATCTTTGGTTTAAAAAAAGTTGTACTTTCCTGTCTATAAAATGTTTTAAAATGTAATAGCAACGCTGTTACACGGTGATAGTAACCTGTTACTCTGTAATATAGCTTCTCTCACTCCTAACTCATGAAAAAAAAAAAGATTAGCAATTACAGTTACAGTGCTCAATATGTAGCATGCAAGCTTTAGCCTAACGGTTTTTTTTCTCTGAGAAAGCTGATGAGATTCACAATACTTCAAATGTAACGTAGACAGACCTTTTTTCTTTATATATATATATATATATATATATATATATATATATATATATATATATATATATAAATATATATATAAATATATCTACAGCCTGTCATTTCCAGCGTATGGTCCGCCGTGGATTTGCAGAATACTAACTTTCTGGGAGCCTTTAGCTACTCCACTGATAGCTGAGCTGTGTCTGCTCTAGCTAATATTGTTTCCCTCGCTATTGGCTAGCAAAACAAAATCCTCTTTCAAGCATAAAATGTCTACTTATGGGTCCAAGGAATCTGTCTTTGCTTCACTGTCTATGGAATGCTTTTAAAAGAATACTGTCCTTATTGTCCTGTAGATGGACACTGTGCGGATGAGCATGGCTGCAGCACATCTTAAAGGTTATACCTCTCTCTCTGTCTCTCAGGTCCAGTGCATCTGATATCACCACCCGATCCATGGAGAGCACTGGCGTCAGGCAGCCAGCCAAAAGCAAGATCCGCCGCCACAACAATAGGTTGGCCACTGTGTTTAACCGGAGTCCTCTCTTGCGGGACAGCAGACCGGGCCAGGGGGGCAGGCACCTGTCAGGAGACCTGCAGGTAGCTGACGATCCCTCTGAACTGTCCAGCCAGCTCTCTGCTCCGGGGATCCTAAAAATATTCGGCAGTGACATCTGCCAAGGGGCCAATTATAAGAGTGTGCTGGCTACAACTAGGTCCAGTGCGAAGGAGCTGGTTAAGGAGGCTCTGGAGAGGTAAGTGTTTCTGTCCATTTCTACAGTGCTGAAATGAATTTCTGTGAAAAGAATTTTTTTTAGATTGTAGCTGAGTTCTCCCTTGATTTTCGGTGCAGAAATTGTTGTATCACTGAATTGTTTTTTGCTGGTGCTTTTACAGATACTGCCTAGAAAAGGAAGATCCAGAGGCGTATGTGCTCTGTGATGTGATTGGCCAGACAGGAGTGGACCACCAGTGGAAGACAGAGTGCCTTCGGGTTGTTGGCGACAATGAGAAGCCCCTTATGCTTCAGTCACTTTGGAAACCCAAAGAAGGATTTTCTAGACGCTTTGAGATTCAGAAAAGAACTAGTGTTGAAGAACGTAGTGGCAAAGACAGAGACACAATCACTGCAGGTATTGTGTCTAAATTACCTTTTTTTGTAGTAAATGTTGGAATCAAAACTGTTAGCATTGGAAGTTTTAATGTTAGAACTTAATTAGAATTAATTTACAAGTGACTTAATGTCCTTTTTTAATTCCATTTATCATTTCCTGAAAGGAAAAAGTATGGTCACAGTAGTCTATCGTAGGTGTGTTTTATTGGAATGGTTCCTTCAGCTCTCATACTGTGCTTTCCCGTTGTGCCCAAACACCTACAGCATGTTGAAGCACCCCCTTGTTTTTCCTTCTATCTGATCTTGTTTCCTGCGCTCTGGAGAATGTGTAACCCTGTTGACTTTGGCACGGGGCGGTGGGTTTTCTCAGGGTTCCCTGGTGGAGACTTAGCCCTGCTGCTGCCTTCCTTTTGCAGAACAATGTGGACAGACGCCCACTTCCACAGCTGATAACGCCCAGAGAGCTGATGGGTGTGAAAGCTTGGCCTCTGAACATTCCACAGTGCTTAATGGACCCGGGGTTGAGTTGAATGGTGTTTGTGTTACGTCAGTCCCATGCATCCATGGGTGGTATCAAATGGAAGTGAACAGCTCTTGTTCTCCAGATTTTCCTGCCCCTTTACTGTCATTATTCATCTCAGTCCTCAAAGAGTGAATCATACTAGAATGCTGTTCACTTATGAAAGACACTGGCAAGGTCTTAGATATCTGTATTACTTTAAAGTCTGTTGGGAGTGTATAAGATGCTTCTGAAGAAGTTGAGTGGGGTTTAGTTTGTTTTTCTGAAATTATAGCTTGCCATTTCTTTAGATGATGTGAATAAGAGTGCAGGCTTCTATGTTCTTCTAAGTGCTCTGCTTTGTTGCTTCACATCTTTCCTGATAAAACTGATAAAAGTTTCAGCCAAACATAACAAAACACTTATCATCCGATATTATGCATTGGTTTGGGTCTGACTGAGCAAAAACGTTTCAGACACAGGTAATCCCAGCACCTGTCCTATCGTAGAAGTGAGAGCAACACCATTTCCACTATCATATTCCCTTGTCTTATCCCTCCTGTCTATTCCTCCTCAGGCCTCAATGCCCAGGTCCGAAAACTGCAGAAAGTGCGTTCACGGGTCACCTCACTCTTTGTGGACGGGAGCGATGGGGAGATAGACAGCCTTGGCATGTGGAGGAGCCTGAGTGACATGGACGTCTCTGCCATGGGTAAAGAAGCCTGCAAGGTTCATAAAGCAGGGGCACTGCAGGAGGACCCGGAGGCTGAGGCTGATGCAGAGGGCCACTGTCTCAGCACAGAGAAAGAAGAGACGGAGAGCAGTGACGACAACACAACACAGTACTCCATCCACCCGCCCTTCGATTTTCCCTACTTCCTTCTTCTGCAGGGCTACAGCCACAGACAAGTGAGGCTACTTTGCCTACCATAACTACAGCTTAGTAACTACTGTCTATTATTGTCTCTTATGCATGTGTACAATATGGGTAGTTTCTATGCATTGCAGTGGCAGTTTCTTTTTTTATAATTCCATCATGGCAGGCCATCAGGTAGTGATTGTGTCCTACAATCAGAGATTCCCTCTGTAATTGGTTTACCGGGCATTAATCAACAGTCCCACAAGGTCAGTGAAGGTGTATTCTGTCAGCTTACCCAATGCTGTCTGTCTACAAATTTACTCTACCTTATTAACTGTACATTAAAGCTTTTAATTGAACTTCTACATTTAATCTGGTGAAGAGAGTCCTGAGGAGCTGTGGGCTGGCAACTGTAATGTGTGGTGCGCTTGTAGCAAAGCTAGGGGAGGGAGCTTCCTGCTGGATTAGGCCATGTCTGACTGTATTGGGGCAGACAGGCAGCCACGATGGAGACAGGTGATCTCTGGACCTCTGGGGTTTGACCTGTCTCTCAGAGGTGGGAAGCTCAGCTTGAATCAGTATTGCCCCTGCCAAGAACTTCAAGCTGTATTTTGGCAGAACTTGTGAAAGGAATGTTCTGTACACGTTAGGTCTCATGCTGAGATCTAACAGCTTAAAGGCTTGATGGACATACAAAGCATGTGTGCAAACATGTTTTGTTCTCACCACAACCGAACACTGATAAACACTGCTAAACTACATTCTCTTTCTAACTGAGACCATTAAAAACAAATCTTAACCTCATTTAACGGTTTACTGGGTGATTAATTTGTTTACAGAACTTTGCCTTTTTGTAACGAAGGCCAGAGTGACTGCCTTTAGCTTGGCCAAGCTTATTTCCAGGAGCAGGAAACTGCCACTGCGCTGTTTGTTCTTGATTGTAAGTGCTGCTGAGTATGCAGAGCGGTGTGAGGGTGGGCGTGGCTGGGTGGGAGTGTGTGCTTCACTGGGAAACACACAGCCTGGCCTGCAGCAGAAACAGCCATAGTTACTTTTTCACATAGTGCTCACTGATATGTTCATGCTCACCACAATGTATTTGTTTGACCTTTGCCATTGATTTCATCTCATCATCAGTTAATGCCAGTGCTTCCTTCTGCGCAGAGAAGGCAATAAAGTGCCTGCTGATTGTTTTGATTGTGTGTGTCAGTATTGTCTGAAGGTTGACGAAACTGTAAACAGGAGTTAACATTCCAGAGGGATGAGGCCACCCTCAATGCTGTAATTTGCACAGGTAGAGCGCTATTGTGTACTTACGCGGAGGTCAGCTGAGACAGAACAAAGCTATAATCAGTACCGAGTCTGTCTCCTGTGTTATAAGACTTTTGACACACTGCTTTTTATTTGTTTTTAGGTACTTTTACTGTTCTCCTTTTATAGGAAAATGTTTGTTGTTTTACTAGAAAATGCATCATTTAATTTTTTTTTACCATGAAAAGTGAAACAAAGCTCAGTTAAGATGTGATTTGATGCCATAGTCAGTGCCCAGAAAAGTCTTAAATTAGATTATCTTAAATTAAAAGATTAACACAGTGATATGCCAGGCACTTCAGTAAATCCCCAAAGGCACATTTATTTTAGATCAAATAGTTACTTCCAATCAATTGGCTTGCAATCGCATTTCTTTCTTTCTGCACAACTGTGGGAGCTCATAATGAATTTTCTGTTTAATTCAGTGGCCATCTGCAAAGGATTTACGATAAGTTCATCCATGGTTTTTAATTGCTTTTAAGTGCTTTTAATTATGAAAATTATCCTGAGATATTCCTGGGTGACAATCTGATGTTTGTGGAGAAATTAACTCAGTATCTCAGTGGTTTCTATTGGCCTATTAACATTTTGTCCACTCACTATCTTATTTGGTGTTTTGTAAAAAAGTCTCTTGTTCCTGGTTCCTTGCAGGACTTTGTGATCTATCTAATGAGCGGGAACAGCTGCGTGTTTGGCTGCTACGGCGAAGACAGTGAGGATATGGAGCGGTTGAAAGTGGATGTGCTGCTTTATGCACCTGACGTGCTACCCCAGCACTGCTGTGTGCGACGCCTGGATGCTCCCAGCCCCCCATCAGAGGGCAACAGAAGGACTCTTACCCTACTGCAGCCTCTCCACGGAGCCCCCGTCACACGCAATGGTGTTCCATTAAAGAGTGAGGCTGAGCTTTTCTCAGGGGACCTGGTGGGCCTGGGCCAGCACTACCTCTTCATGTTCAAGGACCCCACTGCCCCTGATGCCCAGCATATGCCCTCTTGGATGACCACACTGTGTGCCCCAGCTGAAGCCTCACCCTGTAAAAGCTGTGGTTCCTCTTTAAGAAAGCCCAAAACCCACAGAAAAGTAGCAGCGCACTGGAGGGACATGGAGGGCAGAGTGCTCTCACTTTCCTACCAACTGCAGCAAGAAGACCAGGTGCTGGAGAAGATCCTCACCATGGTGGACCCAAGAGGAGAGGAGCCCAAACTAATTCCTGCCTTCTTGCTCTGTTTGTGCATCCAGCATTCAGCCGCCAGCTTTGAAATGGTGCACTTTCGCAAGCTATTACTGCGAATTGCCAACCGGATCCAGCTCACCATGTGGGTGAGTGAGATTTAGAGCAAGGCAAATCACAAATCTAATTATGGCCCTCAGCATTAATCACATTCTAACAGCTTTGTCTTGTAAGTTCTTGATAAATGATGTAGCAGTAACAACATTCAAATGATTGTAAGCAGGAGTCACAGGCATATGTAAAGTCTTTTAGAGACACACTTTGAGAAAAGTATGTTTTAACATGAGTATTTTCCTATTCCCTCACAGGAGAACACAAAAGAGCTTGCAGCGCTTCAGCCAGACTCGTGAGAACCTTTCTTTTCTGTCTGTTTTCATTTAAAAGATAAACTTAAGTCACTAGTGTGTTATCACTGTTAGTGTCAACCCTCTATGCACCAAAACATGACCCAGACACTTAGGTAGAGTCATTTGCCATGGAGTGTCCCAGTAAATCAGTCTGCCTGTTAAGAACTATTCCAGCTTTGATTGCAGTTTTTTATCAGACTTTTTGTCTGGCCACAGTACATCCTGATTTTAAATCATTTCCCTCCATATTGTGGCTAAGGTGGAAAGACTAACAGCTCAAAAGGAAGCACTCAGAGGGGAAAATGAACTTCAATGGCTTTATGATTTGAACTTCCTTTGATTCAGCCTGCTCTTGCTGTGTTTTTATTGAAATGAAAGATAAGTGTAGAAACAAAAACATTTAGCTGATTTGAAATATTAGGAATTCTTTGCAAACACAGAGCCCCTTTCATTCGACCCCTCTCTCTTTAGCACAGCATTTGAAACACTAGTGTACAGCTCTGTACCAACACTTATCCCTTATTGTGATACTGCAATGGGTAAATGTTTTGGCAGTGTCGTATGGCTACACTATAACAGTATGGAAATAATAAAGCTTGAGCTATAAGGAAATATAAGATATTTCAGCTTTAGTCTTTGCAGTGTCAGTGTTTTTCTACACCACACAATACTAGAATATGTGTAGTTTTCTGCTTACATGTGTTGATTTTCTGTTTAGCTTGAATACTGAATGGGTTATGCTGAGTGTTATCTTTGTTCTGCAGTGGCTCTGGGGACAGGCAACCAGCGCCAGAGGAGCTGCATCTGCTGAGTATGGCTGAACTGATCCCAGGCCTGCAGCCGTTGGTGCTGTGGATGGCCAACTCTATTGAACTGCTGCACTTCGTCCAGCACGAGGTGCCCCTGCTTCTGCCCTGGACACAGCAGGATGAGGCGGATCAGGGCGAAGGTGCTCTATTCTTTTTATCAATGCACTTTGATGGTCCAAATTCTGTGGCTGCTGTTTATAACCATTAACATCAGTCATTTGGGTTTGTTTTTAAAGATGTGTAAGCAGATTTGGTTAGTTATGTTTTGTGTGACTTCTGTATTTGTTTCTTTTTGTAGAATTAAGTTCTCAGATCTTGTCTACACGCACTGCCAGTGAGGAGGCCATGACTGTTTTAGAGGAAGTCATCATGTTTACTTTCCAGCAGACTGTCTATTACCTTACTAAAGTAAGCTCCTGTGTCTCATATACATACACATACTTACACAAAGACCCACTGTCCCTTTCCTGCTTCTCCTTAATGTCAGTAAGTACAAACAACCTGTAGCCAAATCAGATAATATTAGTGTAGTTCATCACAGCCCTCCATGTGTAGACCTGATCGTGGTCTGTCTGCTGTATGCAGTATGTTTGAAACAGGACATCTGAGTGTAAACACCATTCTTTTCTTTTTGTAAGCATGCCAGAGAAAAGTCATAACAATGCAGGAAACATACAAATTTGCTCTGTGATGGCTGTTTGAGATGGGTGTGTGAGTTTATTTGACACACTCCTTCCATGGAATCAAAAACAAATACATGCCCTGCATTTTCCCAAGATACAAGTACATTGCCCTAACCTATTGCCCCAACTTTGCCCAAACTCTCTTTTCCTTTCATGTTGGTGTCCTGGGGCTTTGTATCTTTAGTCCTAAGGTAAGATCTGACAAAGTCAGGATAATATTTTTTTCACAAATTCATATCACAGAAACAAATCTTCACAGATTATATATTATCTTACATCATCTTATCTCAGTTTAGGAAAACCAAAACTGCTCTGTTGAGGTCGATAATCAATTGTCATGTCAACCAAACATACACACACAACTGAAACATGAACATGTATGCAGAATACTTTCAAAAATGTATTTTAGATAGCTAGATGTAGATGTACAGATGTAAAACAAAAAAAAAAGAAAAAAACTAAGGTATAATGAGCTGAAAGTTCGACAAAGTTAAGAATATCGTAACTGCGCCACCCCCTGCTGTGTATTTGCCACTCGCCTTTGCCCACAGTGTTATTTTTCCTAATAAAAAAAACACACGTTCAGCCTCATTATTCACTGCCATTGCTACAATATTTTATTTGGCAAGTTTTCATGAACATTAACACATACAGGAGGGAATCTGGAAGAACGTGTTTGCAGTTTCCTAAAAATGATAACATTTTCTTTTCAATAGAATGGCTAACGGTAGGAACAGAAACTTAAAACAGAAGTTAGGACACCACTGGGGTTATTCTAAAGTTAGGACAGTATTTAGAAGGTTTTTTCAGGTTAGGATACTACTGTAAAACATGTTATTCTGTAATAGCTGTCTTAAACTCAGTCCTATACATTGTATCATTTTGTATTATTGTATAATGACTAGCATGTTTACTTGCAGCTAGTGTGAAAGCCTGGTGCTAATGTATTAGCTTGTGCCTAGATTGTTAGATTGAGATCATGTTAAGGCACAGCTTTTGTTTCAAACATTGCACTTTTATAATGTTGAATGCTTTAATTAACTGAAAATAGGAACAATATTATAAGGCACATTTGAAACATTCCTTATGTTTACTATTTTGAAAAATGTGTCATATCAAGACATCACTGTATTATACCAAATCAAATTCTGAATTTTGTGAATATTTACCCCTAATATGCTTTCAGTTATACACATTATTTAAGCAAAAGCACATTTTCATACTTTAGTTACTTTCAGTAAAACTGGATAGATGTCTGTTTTGAGAATTAACTTTCTGGAACTGTGTCTGGTAAATGTTTACTACCTAATTGCTCACTAAGGAGTAAGCACTAGGAAAACTTCCCAGTTTCATGACGTTTCCTAGGCCCATAATTCTGGCTTTCAAACAGTCAAACATTTTGGCCACACCTCCACTGAGCCACACTTGCCTAACAGGACGATGTCCTGATTGCCATAGTAATACAGCCCGGCAACCACTTAAACCAAACTTGTACAGCTGCCTCCAGTGAAGCTTTTAGGTACAGTGAAAACACTTATATTCCACAGTATCATGACATTGGTTGCAAATTAACTTTGCTAACAGAGTGAGGAGGGTAGATCTGAATATTGTCAGAGCTACAAGTGTTGACGCACACTACTTATAGTCCTGTTTGTGTCTTGCTAGGGTCCAGACCTAAAACAGTTCTCAAATATCCATTACGTGTGTAAGCGAACGCGTCGGCCTGGTCTGTCCAGATTGGTGATGTGTGTAGCACAGAGGGAGTGTGGCGAGGCCTTATGGTGGAGTAAGCAGGAAGCACAGAGTGACCCAGCAGTTGCCTGCTGTTCAGTTCATGGGGAAGCAGCTGTGGCCTGTGAATGCAGAGCCGGAATGGTGCCCCGAGCCCACAGTCTGTTTCCTGTTCAGGAAGAGAGCAGCTGTCGTCACCAGACAGCCAGTACTGAGAAATGACCACAGTTATCATGTCCACTGGGGAGATTGCAAATTACTGGGGGTTTTGTGGTTAGTAGGTTCCTCAGCATGACGTTTAAAAGACATTTTTAGTTTAGCTTAAGAAAATGTATGTTTTTGTGCTTTCATAAGCTGATGATGTCTGATTTCACCAAAAGTAAAGAGAAGCTGAGGCTAGAATTTAGTGTATGTAGTGTAATGTAATGTCTTACTGGTAGTAGATCAGGACAATGCAAGAGTACTAAAAATTTAATTTGATGTTTAATATGTCCATGCACCATTTTCTCTTAAAAGACTCATAAATCTCATAAGTTATTGTCATATTCTCGCTTTTCTCATACTCATACTCTTAAATGTAAGGCAAGAAAGCTGTCACATTATTTCCATTTTTTTAAATCACATGCTTGTGATGAATTTAAGGCACTTCGGTTCAGCTTTTTCACTTCTCCTTTCATGTTTAGTAAAAAGGAACATTACCTCCCAGATTTGCCTGTCTCATGGGATGGGAGGAATTTGTGGCACTCATTATTTCAATGGGGGGATCACTAAGTGCTACAAGAGTCATCAAAGTCTTTGAGGGGCTTGTCTTAGTAATGCCCTCCCTATATGGACCTAAGTGACCGATGTAGTGATGTCATGATCTTGGACAAAGGCAGAGGAATGTGTCAGTGAAGGAGAAGTGATGTGGGCTGGGATCTTTTGTCCAGGATAGATTACTCATTGACCTCTAATGCCTTCAGTGCAACCAGTGTGAAGAGGCCCAAGAATGCCTAGAAATCGAAATACTTCTGTAAATTGTTCTGGATGAGAGCATCTGCCAAATGCTGTGAAAGTAAATGCAAATCGGCAAGTAGATTGGTTCGGATGGAGTCACTCTCTCAAATATATAATTAGTATACTGTAAACATTATTCTATTTTAGGTGGTGTTTTCACCTCTGTGTTTTCTGCTCTCTTTCTTCAGTATGTTTTGCCTCATGATAGGTCAGAGGAGACTGTTCTTAGTATCTAATCTATGGATTTGTATTTTCTCATAAAATATGTGGGGTAACAGTTAGACATGGCTGAAGTTCTCATGAACAGCTCTAACTCTTGGGTCTTACCATAGGTCAGATCACAGTGTGCTACAGCCGTGCGTTTAAACTCAGAACTTCCTGACATGTTTCCTATATACTTTGAAATCTTCCATGTTCACAGGAACTTTATTTCCACATAGTTTGAAGACTACATAGAAGACTCTTACTGCTTTATGACAAAATACCAAGTTCCAGTCTGTTTATTTGCTGTAGTCTTTGTAGCCTTTTTTTTGTTATCATAGCAGTTGTCCAGTGGGTGATGCAGTAATTAAGCCAGTGGGACATGCAAGTTTGGATGAGAGCAGTATCTTATCTTGTTTATTCCCAAAATTCCCCTCTCACTATAGTAGTAACAATGGACCGTCACAGCTGAGATCTTCTCCATAGCCCAGTTCCAGACTTGTATCTGTGCTCTAAGTGGAAGTCTCTTTTTTGCCATACTTCCTTTGGGCTCAGACAGAGCACACAGGATGCACTCCACTGTAGTTACAGTGTCTCATTGGACTGCTGATATCCAACTCTCTGATAACTGCAGACTCTGCTAGTCAGGTCACTTTATTTTGACTCTTATAGGTCTTTCTCTCTGATACATTTACATCCTTTTGTTTAAATTGTATTACAAACTATTCTTCATTCTTGTGTGTATGGTCAATTGCCTGCCTATTATTCTGTATTATTCTTATCCTACAACACACAAATGTTGCACAGTCTAAAACTGCCTGTTTTCTTCCTTCTCTCTGCTGTTCTCAGAGTTTGTATGCAGTTCTGCCAGGGCTGCTGGACAGCAACCCTTTCTCTGAGAGTGGACAGCTGCGCATGCCTATGGGTGTCAGTGACATCCTGGATGTTCTGAAGGAGGCACTTCAACTACTTAACACCTTCCAGGTGCACACGGAGATATCCTCACAACTCTTGGCTTATTTGTTCTTCTTCACCAATGCATCTCTCTTCAACATACTCATGGAAAGAGGTCAGCACTACACACTGTTCTGTCCTAGCAAGTGAATGCAGTTCTAAATAATTTTGTAATATATGATTGTTTTATTATACAGTTGCATGGAGTTGCTGGCTATTTTGGGGCACCTCCTTTTTTCAGTATTTGAATCTGCTGCTGAAATCTTTTGAAATGAAGAAATTACTAGATGTGAATGTGGGTATTTACTAAGGTTCTGGAGGAGGGTTCTACCAGTGGTCCAGAGGAGTACAGATTCGGGCCAACCTGGATTTGCTGATGGATTGGACACAGAGCATTGGACTGGGTGACCTGGCTGCTGAATTCTTCCAGAAACTCTCATCAGCGGTCAACCTGCTGGCCACTCCTAAGGAGACCTTACTACAGGTAGGTCTGCCATGCGATTTGGTGATCTTCCTTCAAATGACCGCTAGCTGCACTTATCTGTGCACTTTGCCTGAATGTAGTATTTGCAAAAAGCAAATACACCTGTTGTCTTAAATCACCCGACAAACCTATCAGTCTGGTTTCTAGAGGCTGTTTATGAAGGATGTTTTTGTATTTAGTTTGTAATAAGATGTCTGCACTGGATCACAGAACACCATGTTTATTCTGTCATACACTGATGTGGCTGTGGAAACCAAGGTATAAGTTTGTTTTATAATCTTAGCACACCATTGTAAAGTCCTTGAGGCTCCTCATAAATACAGAAATGACCTCATGCCTCGGGCAGCACTAAGCAAACCTGTTGCACCAACAAAGGGGCTGGCTTGAGGTGTCAAGTTCAGTCTAATGTGACAGAGAGATTTGGTTAGTGTGATAACAAAGTCCATACATATTTATTTCCTTATGACTGTTGCAGTCTCTTTGTTCACAATGGGGCGGCTCTAGTATATGGCATGCTGAAAGTGCCAAAACTAAGAACCTACGGTCTGTTTAAGTTGATGTCATCTGAGCGAAACTCCAGCAGGCATGCTGTGGCATGTAGTTTGTATAGCTTCCCATGAAGAGTTGGACCAGGATGTTGTGCGTGACGAAATTAAACATTTCGTCACGCACAACATCCTGAGTGAGGAGAACAACACCTGAATGAACAACCGAGGAGGTGCTGACTTGTAACAATGTTACTGAAGTAGTTAATCCTTTCTTAAGTCTGCCGTTTCCTCTGTAATCCACTGAAAGACGGAATCTTGTTTAATTGTCTCACTCGAGGAAGTTGCCCTGTCTAATTCCACTCTTTTTATCAGCCCCTGCCTTCCACAGACTACAATATAGGATACTTCCATGTTAAGAGGGATATACAAAAGTTACAAGGTGTCACCAGGACGCATCCTGTTCTGTAAGAGATTTACAGGCTTGTCAAATAGCAGCATTTTCTACTGGGAATAAAGATCAGAGGAGTTCTCCAGGGGTGAGCAAGCCCAAGGGTGAGAGGACAACTAACCGAAAGGCAGTGGCCTTAGCACCAGCTGACTACATCATACTACAGCAAGTATATAGTGAGCGGAAGTAAGAGAGCGTTGACTAATCAGGTGTAAACCCATTAGATAATCGCACCCAGGAGGGATACTGGCTTTTTCAGTCCTCTCTGTTTCTCATTCATTGTTAATCAGATGTACTCAGGCAGGGAGGGGCTGAAATGAACTCATGTGACACGGAACGTGTAGTGTACCATGTTTAGTTCCTCGTGTAGAATCTCGTGTTTAGTTGACTGCACATTGGACACTTATCATGACTCATCACCACCTGATGATTCTGCTCTTCAGCTTTTGTGCCCTGACTCTTTACATAAGATCAGCAAAGCTGTAAACCCATGCTCTTAAGGAAAAACAGTTGTGTTTCCCCTGTCTAAACTGAATTTTGTGAAGCATTGATTGCAGTAGTGGGATGAGGGGGAACGGTGGGATCCCGTTTTAATACTGTTTTTAACGTGCCCTTGCCAACTTTGACTCACCACTCAGAGGTGCGTCACACCTGTGTTACTCCCAGTACAAGGGGAAGAGAGGACAGTGAGAAGTGGATTTTTGAATCGGAACACACTCACCCTCAGTTAGGTTAGCTTCAGTAAGCTATATGGTTAGTCCTGCAAACTTTGTATTTAAAGTGTTTTTGAGAAGTTTTAAAATAATGTGTATTGCCTTTCTTTTTGTTGTTGCTAGCTGTATAGGCTTTAGCTTGCTACCTTGCAGGCTAGTAGAGTAAAGTGATGAGGTTCTATCAGCAATCATGTATAAGAGATGGAGTAGTTTCCTATATGTTATTGAAAAAGATGTTATTGTTTTGGAAATGTCAACAATTAACCAATTAAACAGTTTTTTTTTTCATGTTGAAAAGGGAAATGTATCAGGTTGCAGTGATTTCTAAACATGTTCGTTCAGTCCCTTCCCCTTGCCATTTCTCTTGTGCTAATAAAATAAACTGTTAAGATGGCGTCAGGGATTGCCCGAGTGGAATGTCAAAACCAAGCGGTCTGGGCCTTTAGTACTTTTTTAGCACCTAATGTACAGCAGGTCCTTGTTATGTATAGCAACTAAATGTATTAATTTGCAAGGTAGGAATCATATTGCCATAGCACCTGTTTGTTCTTAAGATTAAGTTGGGCTGAGCCATCTCATGTGTTGCTAAATGTAACAGAGTATTGCATTTTGAGCACAATTTGATTTACTCTGTTCAGCATTAACAGCACTTGCGTGGGACAGTTGCTAGGAAGCTGGTTTTCACTGTTCCACCCATGGCACTAGGGCACAGTTTGTGTTTTGTATAGAAGCCAGCAATGTGCTCAACCACTTGTGCTTTCTCCTTTTTTTCCGTCTGCCGTTTCTGGGCCTGCTTTGCTCAGTTGATTAGGACACTGTTTTGGCATTGCTGAGGTTTAGCTCCTGTCGACATTAAACAAAATTGCTCTTGGATCAGCATGACAGTGGCAACTCCTTTTGAATAGTGTTTAAATGTGCCCCATGCATATTCTTCTGAAGAACTAGTAGTTGCTCATAAACACACTATGGACATGCATGAAAGTGTTTTGGAAATGAGAGCCTGTGTTTAGAAAAACTCCCTCACATCAGCCTCCCTTCTGTGTGCAGACAGCTGTAAGTGGGAGTTTTCCTTAGGAGACCTCTGACTGATGAGCTGGCATGTTGGGGCAACTTGAAGGCTCCTCCCAAAGTGGCTCTCTTGCAGTGATTAAGTTGGCCCTGTCATCACCCAATCTGTTTATTTTAAAATGATGTTAGTGTGTGCACAGACCTCTGAACCCTCCCAAAGTGCATTATACATGGCCTTATTTTAATTTGTTTGACGTGCAATGGCAGCTTGTCATGTGACCCAGGAAAAGTGCCCCGTTTATTACAGATGTGTTGGAAGATGTTTTGGACTTGGATGTTTTGGTTAGTAGACTATAAATTTTAAGTGGCTGCATTGTGGACAAAAATGTTCACTCCCAGTGCTCTGTCATTTGCCTGCTTTATTTTACAGTGCATCAACAAAAGGCACCAAGAGTGCAGAAAGATTTGCTGCAAGCTATCTTTTGTTGTTGACGTTGTTTGGCAGTATGTTATATGGAGCATTTTAAATAGCGTGTGCGTCTATGTATTGTGTATTTTTCCTCCCATTCCCACTTGTTGCTCATGAGTGTGGAGAGTTGTGTCTGTGTGTAATTGTGGTTTATGTGTGCATTTTAGAAACAGTTATTTAGTAATTTCTTAACCCTTGCTTTACTGTTAATCTTTACTTTGTGTCTGTATGTAGGCATCCTGGCCATCTCTTAGAGCTGAATTCACACATCTCAATCCAGCACAGCTTCATCACATGCTGAGGGAGTACAACGCAGGCAGGGCCTGCCCCTCCTGCTGGACCCCCTCCCCCGAGGAAGCAGAATCTGCTTTACAAACCTGTGAGTCTTACTGTGGCACATCAAGCTGTAAATGAACTTCTTCACTCTTCCCCTTTGGCATGAGCTGCCTTTTGTACCTTCTCTTTAAATAAAATGTGGTATTTGTGAAGATCGCATATCTTGTGTAATATTTTACCTTGTAGACAGCAATAGGACAGACATGTCCATAAACAATGTTAGATGCAACCCTCTCATTGTCTAAGCTTACCTGTGCCTAGGGGTGGGAATCTCTAGGCACCTCACGATTCGATTCGATTATGATTCAGAGGGCTGTGATGCGATTATAAAATGATTATCGATGCATCTTTTTTTTCTATACAGGATTTCTATTTTCTCACTGTGTAAGGACGTGGCATTTTTAAAGCAAAGTATTTGTAATGATCCATAATGAATTTACCTCTTTTTTAATAAAACAAATGGAAGTGATGTGGCAAGTGAACTAGAAGGCTGTCATTTACTGCTCTTGTTTGGAGCACGAGACACTGGCTGCCACTCATCTGCGATAAAATGCGCTGTCACAGTGACATAAGATCCTGTGGCAACGGATGTCCACACAGCATATATTAAAGCTATCCTACCTGTTTTCTTTAGTGATTTTATGACTTCGGTTTTGGTCTCATTGTAGAGAGTGAGGATCGCTGTGTCAGTAAAATATTTTTGAGACTGGACGCTGTATCTCTGCTCCAAAGTGTGCAACATAGTGCGAAAGCCCTGGTTCTCAGCGACAGAGAACTGGCGTGCAGACTGCAGGTCACATAGCCACGCAGTCTTGCCTAGCTAGTAGCTAACGAAAAGGCAAAGAGAGAGATTTAAGACGAACATTTGGAGGCGATTGGACTTATTCGCATTTATAAGCATTGCAGTTGGTTTCCTGTAACGTTAAATCTGCAATCTCGAATTTTCCCATTTCACATTAAATGGTGCTGCATTTACATTCTCGCGCCTCAGTTAGAATTTAAGGTAGAACGGGAAAATTCGAATAAGAAGCTGGCAAATAAGAAGCGACTTCAGCCTTGTAAAACAGTCGAAGTTGAGAGACACTTTACAAGAAACTATTTAACTTTTGAGGAAGAGTGTCCTGGCGGAGATGGTAGAAAAGTGGCTATAGATGAAGTTTAAATCAGAGCAAAGTAAGTCTGCATTTTCGTTTATAATTTTTTTAGCCTATACTAGAACATTAGCATGTACTGAGACATGTTGGACATAAAATTTTGTGGCTCCCAAGGTAGTTTGATTTTTGTTGAAAGGACAAAATGGCTCTTCTTAACATTTGTGTTGTCGACTCCTGACCTAACCTAGCTTTTAATGCAGAGGGTGCCAGTCGGATTTCTCGCTCATATAGTTGTGTTTTTGTTATGTGCACGCCACAGACTGTCCAGGCGCTGCACTTCCGCATTTCCGAGTTCCGCCTTTTGTGTTCCGTCAACATTATGTTATAAATAAGAATTTAGAAAATCGATTTTTGACATTTGTGAATCGATTCAGAATCATTCACGTCCATTTTGCCCCCACCCCTACCTGTGCCACCTCTTAACTCAGTCTTATCTATGTTTTTGGTAATGTGAAGTCCTGTTTACATGCTAATATGTTGCTGATCTTACCTAATCTTCTCCTAGCTGAAATCCTAGAGAGTTTTGAAAACCATCCTCCGCTCATCCTGCCCAACAATACCTTTCACTTGGAGCTGGGGAAGCCTATCACAGAACCTGGTTTCTTCTCCCAGCTTCAGCACCTGCAGGAGTTCATCCACACCATCTCCATCAGCCAGATGCAAAATGAACTGCAACCTCTGCAGGTACTTTGCTCTCCACTCACCCTGTTCACCTATTTAACTGCTTCTACATGCCTGAATATGGTGATAGATAATAGTTCTAGACTAGTGTACTAAATACACTTTGTTTTGGTGTGTTTCTTTCAGGACACCAGCAATGACCTGATGGAGGATACACAGTCAGTATCGTCTCCATCCGGCACAGAACCAGAATGCCATATCCCCAGTGTAACCCCTGACCCAACCATTCATTTTGCTTACGAAGCAGAAGAACAGCAATGCTTGTCTGCATCACCCTCTCATGTCAGGGGGTCTCATGGTGATCTGAGCTCATGTGAAGCAGTGTTGGCCCAGAAGCTGAAGAACCTGGAGCTCCAGAGTAACTTGCCAGGGGAAACAGACATGGGCTATCACAAGAGCCTGGCCTTGGACCCCTCCTGCTTGCTCACCCCACCCAACACACCCCAAGGCCTTGAACTGGCTGAGTTAGAGGCCAGCCTGCAGGAGGAGGCAACACAGCAATCAGCCCGGCAGCACAAAAAAGGTAACTTATCTGCTACATAGTAGCTGTAGATACAAGAACACAGTCTATGATTCCATCAGGTTCTGATTAAAAAATCCCATAACTGCTTCTCTAGTCAATAAAGCTGCCACTGTGATTTCTTATAGCCATGGCTTGTAGCCTGAGGGATGTAATTACTGCAGCTAGGCAAGGAAACATTCTCAACAAGGAGCTGACCTCAGGCCTCTGCCGAGTTATCGGTTGATATGAATGACCTGGACCAAAAACATCTGTCCCACTCCTCCTCCAGTTCTTATTTCATTTTTCTTTTAAGCTGAACCCTAAGAGAAGGCCTCAGGCATGTTCGGCCTGTGGGGTGTTCCCCAAGTTCAAAGGATGGGCCGTTTCCTCTTCAGGTCAATTGTTTTTGGAAGCCTGAGTACTGAGGTCATGCGGAGGCAGCAGGGTGGATGTGAAAGTGGTGCTTTGTGTGCTTTGGTTCTGATTTGGTGTTATGATTGAGAAGGGAGGGAGTGTGAGGAGAGAGCCCAATTAGCTCCTATCACCACAGGTTGAACTCCCCCGCCTCTATGAATCAGTGCATTTTATCACATTTAAAAAATGATTAAGAAAGTGAATCTCTGACTGTGTTGAATAAATGGATCAGGTGCATATCGCTATTGGAACAGAACTGCATATCTCCAAGAACGCTAACTTTACTGGAGAAGGAAAGTAATTTCCTAATTTTCAGTGCATGTAATAATTTTATATTAAATCATTTGGGAGCATTTCTATTGATCCATTCTTCTTGAAATTTTGACATAATATAAACAACTGCTGGCACTTTCAAATTAAGTAAAAAAATCAAAATAATAACAACAAAAATGGTGATACAGAGTTTTGTTCCAGCTGGTTCTTTTCATATGTTTCCATTCAGCTGTGTTCACCAGGCTAGAATTCTACTTCTCTGTGACATTCTTGACTATAAAAGTGTCACTTAGGAGCTCTAAAATCTGGGAAACAAATGATGAAAAGTGAGGCTTCCCCCAGCACTGCAGCATGTCCGCTCCCTTCAGCACATGACTAGTGGGGGTTAACCTTTACATATGGTCATAGGGCAGTTTAAGCTTTAAGCCCCTCTAGAAAAAGGCATGGGTCAGTATCCTTTCACAAAGGATTATAGCTCCAGTTCATTGAACCCAGTGACTACTGCCTTGTAATGATTTCTTAACAATTCTAAGTGTGCTGCCCACCACAAATAAACACAAATTAACCAACTTTTACTCTTGACAGCCCTCTGTGAACTGGGCCTGGACTTTCACCACCCTAATCAACAAGACTCCTGTTCACCCACACTAGTTTTCTCTGCTAACACGTCACGCTTTTTTGGTAGCCAGGCTAATCCTATAATCTGGAGCAAGAATTACAGCGAGGTGGTGATGTCAGGAGAGAAAAGAGTGGTGGATAAAGCGTCATGGGAATTTACAGTTGGGTTGCTGGATGGAATCTTAATCGGGACTGGCATTGTTCGGGGTGCTGGGCTGGGGTGTGACCAGTTTTAGGGGATGGGGGTGTTACTGTTGCTGTTGTGATGGGGGAACATCAGAAGAGCGGCAGACAATGCAGCAGTATAGCACACTTAAGGCCCCTGTGGTCCTACAGGCCTAGTGCAGCGTAGTATTTGATACATGGGATTAAACATTTGAAATACTCCTCAGATCTAGTTTGGTTTTGTGTTTAAAGACATGAGGCAGATTTAGATGAAAACATGTAAAAAGGAAGGAAAGAAGAAACAATCTGTATGGATCTGTCTTTACAAAATTGGCACAGTTTGTACCCCACAAAACATTAACTCTTCTTTTAGCTCTGTTTTGACACAGTTGACCTCCCCAAAATCTAATCTTATTGCTCTTAAGGCTTATAATTCTATAACTGCTATTAATTATTCTGTAACTACTATGAACCTTATCACTTGTGGCTCAACTTGAATTTAAATTTATATAGAAGTGGACTGCAAACTGAAAATCAGTTCTAAATGAACTTAACATGTTACTTCAAAGATGATACAAACAAAAATTAACCAGAGAGGATGCAAGCAGCAGTAAGCATTTTCAGCTTTACCATCTCTGTGTGTTAGGTAAGGGGGATGTGTTAATATGCACAATGCTGCCAGTCTGAATGGCATTTCATGTCTTAAAAAAACCTGTACTAACCAGCCAGTGATCAGAGATTTTTCCCCCCTTTTTTAAGCAATTTATTTGTCCCTATCCATGGTATAGGCCTACAGAGTTTACTTTTTTATGGACTACTGTTTAGCTTTTCATAACCATCTGGGCTTATCATTAAGCTTTGAGACCTCAGAATCAACTCTGTTCTCTGTAATTGCATTTTTTGGACTAGCTGTCCTTAGCATTGGCAGAACATTGCATCCACTTTGTCAGTACAGGCACTTCACACAGTACTGTACTGAGCTCCCCAAGGTACTCCTTGTAGACTCATGACTGCATTGCTAGATGCAGTGCCAGAACTATCGTTACAGTTGTTACAATTGACTACCACCATGGGGCTGATCACTGACAACTATGAGACGGCTTATAGGGAGGAGGTCAGGCTACTGGTTGAAGTTTCAGACATACAGCATCACCTTAAATGACAAGTAGCTGATTATTGATTTCAGGAAGAAAGAGGAGGAATGTACTTTAATTTGCATTAGTGAGGAGGGTATGGATGTAAAGTGGAAACGTCTTGGCATCACAATCTACAACAACCTTACCTACTAAAATTACTAGTTTTTTTCCACATGGCTGAGGAGCTCTTTAATATCACAATTAACTCTTACCAGCTTTTGTAGGTGTACTATGGAGGATCATATGCGTAGAATCTTAAGATACTGTAGAGAATACAAACTCCCTGCCCTGCTTTCTTCTAGAAGGCAACACAAGTTCTTAGGTCCACATATGTCAAGAATCGGATGGAGCCAGCATGGCCACTGATAGTGTTAATTTGTTTATATATTGTTCTTGTTTTGCAGGCACTAATTTACTGAAGTACACATGACAGAATGTCTTGGAGTCTTTGAGACAAACTGCATAAAGGAACTATTGTGATAACAGTTTGCTGTGATTGTGTTTTGTTTCCTCAGTAGGGAATGGTCTTGTGGCAGTTGCAGATCAAAGGGACGAGAGAAATGAAGAAGAGGATGATGAGGATGAGCGAGATGAAGTGTTCACTGTAGAGCTTTCAAAAGGACCACATGGCCTTGGCTTGGCACTGGTGGATGGACTGGTGAGATCTTTTAAGTCTCCTTGTTTTCAACTCCCTCTTTACTGTGTTTCTCAGCTTGTCCTCCAACATGTATTCAGTTTTTTTCTTGAAGTCTTTATAGTGGTCTTACATCAAACTTTACAGCTTAATTTATGTTCAGTTCCCTGCTACTGGTTTGATGCCACAGGGTCACAGGATTGCTCTTTGGTCATAAGATCTTATTAATGGGGCTAGTACCACGAGTGGCAGAACTTTATAAACCTATAATCTGATTACGTTCATGTGAGTATACTCTGCCTACCATATATGTTTTAGATTTGAAGGTCTTACTAGGCTCTTTCACAAAATGGGTCTAATTAAGTGCAGGCAAAAATAATCTGTCACAGGTGAAACAGGATACACTTCCTAGTTCACTTCAGCACAGAAGAACTTGTTTTCATCTTTATTTATATTCCATCTAGAGTTAAGTTACACATTCTGTATATGATTCAAAAGCAATTTTATTAACAATTTGTGTGTTAAATTTTAATAACACCCATTACCTCAAACTGAGTCTGAAGGTGCAATCTGAGCTTCCTGCATGACCGACATGTTAAAGGCTCTGAAACTAGGCCAGTCAGCAGCTGTTGCCTAAAAATAATTGTTGCTTAGCTAGTACAGTGGTAGTGTATGTGCAGACAATAAAGGTTGCATTGTTTAGCTCCCCTGCTGTGATTGGTCTTTTAAGATGTTGAAGGTTGCTGATTGAGGGACTTGGTATGGAGGTATGTGAGGAGGGGGGTCAGGTTTTACTGGAAATGACTCAACAGGAGGTAAATGGCTGTGCTTTGGCCTCGCCAAGGGTCTTTTGAAGTCATTATTGGTGGCTGGATTGAGATCATGACTGAAAGTGAATTGATCCTCTACTTTTCCCAGAACATCCAAGTCATTTTGGTAGCAAACACATTATAATAGGGACAGTGAGATTGTAAGTGTACATCCTGCTGGTGTTCTGCATATGACACTATGGTTTATCACAAGGACAGTAAAACAGTGTTTGCTTTAAGTGACTCATCCCCTCAGAAGCACTGAACATGACAGTGTACCATTTGTGCAGATACTTGGTTTTCTACCTTTCCTTGCTGGTTTAGCTTTGTTACCTAAAGACACTTTAACATATGTTGTTGTAGGTACAAATGAGATGTTTAGGCTTACTGTGTATTGGATGTCCCTTTTAATCTTACTGAGTGCTTGTGTTTTCTGGCTGTAGAAAACTCCTTTGAGGATGAGTGGCATCTATGTAAAGTCAGTGGTACCAGACTCCCCTGCTGCCCAGTGCCAGAGGCTCAGGCTGGGTGATCGCATCCTTGCTGTAAACGGAGTCAGTCTTGTGGGTATGGACTATCATACGTAAGTATATTGTCTCAGGCTACTTACATACTTACACCATAACATCAACACCATTAACATACAATATTGTCATAAATAGACATAAATTGTTGGGTTGCCATGTTCAAATAAGAATGTACTTGTTTTTAGTCAGTGTCCTAATTCAGCAATGTAAGATCTCCATATGGCAGTTGGGTCATAAAGCATAGTGTTTTTAGCCATTTTACCCAATTTAAACCAGTGGTTTTCAAAACAGTCCTCAGGTCCCCCAGATGGTCCATGTTTGTGCTCAATCAACTACCAACTTATAAGGATAGAACATAAATGTGGACCGTCGGGGGGGTCCCTGAGAATCGTTTTGAAAACCACTGTTTTAATGCCAACAAACAGTGGAACCTGTAGCCAGCCATGTGAGACTATGTCTGTCTGGTCTGTCCCTAAGTCCAGAAAAAAAAGCTTTAAGGAGGAAGTCTGAGGTTTCACAGATGAGATCTTTCGGGCGTTCTTGGCACTGTAGCTCAGTAACCACAGTTCAGAACAGAAATAACCCTCCCATGCTCTGCTTCCTCTCTGTCTGTCACAGTGGTAGGGAGATCATCCGGACATCAGGAGATTCTCTCAGATTGCTTGTGGCCAAAACCGAAGCAAGGAGCAGTGGCAGGACCTCCATCACCAGATGCTAAAGTAGCAGAAGACTGAAAAAGACTGCCTAGTGACAGCTGAGGGATTCGTGCCAAACCAGCTACTCTATCCAATGATTTTACTTAATGCTGCTGGGATGAAGTCCTCAGACATTGGCACTGTGCTTACTTTTGGTTCTAAACCAAAGGAAAGAATGCTCTCACTTTTTTCAAAATCTTTTTTGAAGGTTTTTATTGGGAGTCTGTCCATTAAACAGTCAAATCTACCAAAGATTCTATATTAGTATATTAGTGTCGGTTTTCTCTGACAGACTGGACAGACTGGTTTCATACCCCTTGTACACTTGTCTTTCCACTGCAGAAGCTCAGTCCCATCTCCCTTGGATTCAGATGCGTATACCAAATACCATTTATACCAATGTTTACTACAGTTTTTATTTTAATTCAAAATTCATCCAGCTGTCATCTGCATGAAATGTTGCATGTGGTTTGTTGCAAAGTAGCTGTGGTTAAGACTCCCCAGTCTTTGGCCTGTTTCAGCCTCAGCGTGGCGTGTATTAGGAAAGAAAGGCGTGGCCATTTTAGCCTTTAAAAGCTCAAACCCCATACTTAACGCATGCAGAACCTATGCACCACATATTACAGTAAATATCAAGAATTATAACTTTATATTTTTTCTTAAATATATATATATATATATATATATTATATATATTAATCAAAGTCTCATTTAAACAGTGTTTTTAAATGTTCTAGTAAGAACAGAGTATTTCCAATGAATGTCCTAACTGGCGTCATGAATATGTCCTCTTTTATCTATTTCACAGTTGGTATTATAGAGTCCTAATGACCATCACATGATACAAGCATGTGTTTTCCCTCAATGCCAGAGAAACAGTGTTATGTCAGTGTCAAATATGTTCAGAGTATTTTGTTTGTTATATTTATATTCTAAGTGATATGTGAAATAAATATTGCTTGCTTTTTTATATATGAAAGAAAATATATATACGAGTGGGTCAGTTCTTGTAAACACAAGTCTTGTTTGACATTTATTTATGTGTTATATGTGGTTTTGGTTCAGTTTATAAATGGGCAAGACTAATCTGGTAGTAATCTCAGCTTACATGGAAAATGCAATTGCAGGCATTTTTAGGGTGTCTTTTTAGCTTTATGGCACATTTATTTTGATTTTTTTTTAAAGTGGTCGTTAGGAATGCCATCCAGTTCTGCTGAATTCATTCTGCGTTGAAATGGTTTATTAATTAAGCAGAAATAGTGATGGCCTGCTGTAGGGTAAAACAAGAATCCAGCTGTCGGTCCTGCTGGTTGGAGACGGTGAGAAGGGAGAAGTGTGGAGCTTAGGGTGTGTCTCCCTGAGGCACTGCTGTCTTGGGCCGGCACACCACTTGCCATTTTTAGAGTACTGAGGTTTCCACTCTATCACTCTGCTCTGCAAGCTCCAATTACACACTGTTGCCTCATGTGCCTTTGCAGGACGCACACTGAGATACAGCTCACCATGATATGCTGATTAGACAGGTTGGCTGCTGAACAGCTGCACTGAGATTTAAACAAAGTAGCGTGTTAAAAAATGCTGAACAGGTTTGTGGTTAAGAGCTATTGCTACGTGTACACTACGCCATTAAAACAAGCTAACGTTTGACTTTCTTCAGGTCTTTTGGTCTTGTATTAATTAAGAAAGATCAACTTTTTCTTCAGACTTGTCCAGCCTGGCAGGCTGTTTGTTTTGAGCGCTCTATGTGTAGCCTCCAGATTTAGTGCCGGTCAGGCACAGACTGCATGTTTATTCCACTATAACCACAAGGTCTTGTAAAACCATCTCAGACTCACATAAAATTATGGCTGCTGGTCGCTCATTGCAGAGTCGACATCTTAAAGATGTTTTACAGCTAAATTTATACTGAAGTATAAAACTCAGACGGCAAGTATTTACCATGCTAAATATATTATACAACTTTCCCAGCCATGACCGGTGTAACATAACATCCAGATGTACATACAGATGCCCTCTGCCTGCCTTAAGTTCAGCAGAGCGAATACATAAATATTAGTAGTAGTAGTAGCAGTAGTGTTAGTAGTAATATTAGTATTATAATTTTAAAGAAATATTCTTAAAGCAGGCAATTCTTCCACCACCTTTTGCCTGATGTGTGCTAAAAGTGCACATATTTATGCATATTTACACATTTATTCACACACCGGAAGAATGAAAATGTATACTTTAAAATATCAAATAAACTATTACCCCATAACTTTATCACAGTAAGTAAGACACTGTTGTCTCTATGTGTGAAATTTTGTGACTAAGTTGAGCTGCAAGTGAGCAATGAGGGTTTAAGAAGGAGGGATTAGAACCCCATGCTGTTAAAACAGTTTACACCTCTCCAAAAAGTAAACTGTGTTGAAATAACCTCTCCTAAAAGGCAGCTGTGCTGAAATAAGGCAGCCCAATAAGAACAAAATAAATTTAAAAAAATTCCACAAAAAAAGAAAACTCTGTGAAGTGTTTAGAAATCAGCAGCGACGATGAATCCAGTTCACGCCAGGTTTTGTAAATGATTTCAACTCAAAAAATATTCCATCACTGCTGTTGAAGAAAAAAGCATCTGTCAACCTGGGGAGCCCAAAAAGGTGGAGTTTGCATTTTATGGCTAATGTGAATAGGATTAAAGAAATGTTTTATCACTTTAAGAGGGTTATTGTTTCACTCGTTTGGCATTTCACTCACAAATGATCTCACTGCTTTTGGTTTTGAGATGTCATGGTAACAGCGTTTACCCGACTTAATAACAGGCCTTCTTACAGGTGAATCAGCACTGACTTGAACGGGAGATGATGGGTTTAATCTAAATGGGATTTGGTAGGCACTCGTAACCAGACAGAAATGTTGCAAATAAGGTAAATTACAACATTTCTCCTGTGTGTGGCAGCAGTAACCTAGCATTAGACCCTCTTGTGCAAGAAAACTGTCTGCGCAGTTGGAATGTGGATGGGTGCTGTATGAAACTTCTAGACTACTTTCTAGTTTATTCCAGGACTGAACAGTCACATCTGTGGGTTATTCTTCACTAATGCTAATACACAGGACTCGGTTTCATTCAACAGCTCTGCCATGGGACATAGGTTATTTTTACTGGCTGCTGCCTGGAAGATAAAGTAATTTTGTGAGCTACAAACTGAGTAGTCATCTATGTTATATGACTGCAATGATGTAATTTAGTAAACAATTAAATAGTATCACAAATTGCATAAAACAAAGTTGCACTATTTACGTATAGTCATATAACAGACATACACTGTACATTTGCAAGGTAAAAAAGTCTACTTTTACTTGGTTACATGTTAGTCATTAACATTTAGTAACTAATCATGTGTGTGTTCAGTTTCATTCTGTTTTTTTGGTGGCAGCATCTACTGTGATTGGTCACTGCCAGACATCTTCACGCTACACACCACATTTCATTTTTCTGAGGTTCGATAAGCAGAAGAAGACAAAAAAAGAAGCAGTAGTGCCATATTTTCAAAAACCATCAAAAGCTACAAATATAAATAGGCGTGCTGAAATAAGACAGACCATTAAGAATAAAACACTTTTAAACACTTCACAATCACCCGCAACGATGAACCCAGTTCACGTCAGGTTTTGTAAATGATTTCAACCGAAAAATATTCCATCACTGCTGTTGCATCTGTCAATCTGTGGACCCCAAAACAGGTGGAGTTTGCATTTCATGGCTAATGTGAATAGGATTAAAGGAATGTTTTAAATAGTTTTATCCAATGTTTGAGATACTGTGAACTATACAGTTAAACAGGACTTATTAAGCTCTCATTGTAATGAAACATTCAGTTGGTCAGGGTTCTTTAAGATGATGTCTATGATATGCTGTGGCATAATTGTCACAGTAATTTAACAACAATGACAGTAAATTTGGACAATAAACCTCAGAAAAATGAAATATTTTGACAAACATTGTGAAAATGTCTTCAAGTATCACAATATGTTTTTGCCATATTGGTCACTCCTACATCTGACCTTTGAGGTGCATCATTTATTTTTTAATTCAAGTTGTTTTGGAAAGGTTGTGTTTACTGTAGTGAGTACATCACTGAGTCTGAGTTTAGGCCTCTACGTAATTCTAGTTGTGAGGTCAGGTGTAACTCAAAGGGCAGATAGACTTAAAAGGGAACTCCAAAGATGTTTTAAAATTTCTCTATAATTAAATGGTTTAGATGTAAACTAAGCCATTCCGAGTAGTGTGGAGTGAATGCTTCGTTCTAGCAACACTTGCAGAGAATGTTTTTACATTGAATGGTTATTAATACATTGCCTGATGTCTGAGATGTTGTTTTACGGTAGTTTTGTGATAACATTTTTGCCTAAAATGCATTTTAATACATTTATTTTAATCTATTAATGTTGGGGTGGTGGTGCATGAAGGGTGTTCTAAGGTTAAATAGTCCCCAAAGAAAACGTTTTCTTTTCAGATTTCCCACTATTTTACAGTCGTCACCATTACATATAAGAACTCAGAGGACAGGTGTAGGTTCACTGACGGTTTTGATGAGTAAATAAAATGGCTATATTTGTGTTGTAGACATCATAACCTCTGGTTCCCATCACCACCACTCTAAAGTAATCTGAGTCGGTAAGTTTCAAACCACTCTGAATGACTTTGTTTATATATCAACCCATGAATTGTGAAGAAATTTACAAAAAATCGGTGGACTTCCCCTTTAAGCTGTCTTTCTCCGAGCCTTCAAATCCAGTTTGGAGCAAGAAGGATCAACGACAGGTCTCATCAGAAAAGAGGGACCACCGCAGAGCTTAATATTATTTTTAATGCTACCTCTTACTTGTTTGTATATAAGGTGTTGATACATAAATATATAAACTCTTAAAAACGTCCACAAACTACGTTTATGGTGGAGGTATTCTCGATAATAATGACGTATGTCTCCCTCTAGTGGCAGCTGTGGAGACTTACAACACTTCACTTAAACGTTTCAAGACTAACGCTACACGCTCAGTTATGATTAAAAAAAAAAGATGGTTCTTCAAGGGTTCTTCAGTAAAGGTAATAGTTCTATATAGAACCACGAACACTCAAAGAACCGTTTGCTTGATTATATGGTTCTTTGCATGGTGAAATGGTTCTTCAGATTGATGGAGAATGTGCTGTGTATGGTTCTATCTAGCACCTAAAAGGCTTCCACTGTTACAAGCTTAACATTTTCACAATAGAAAAAATCTTGTGGTGCCTCACTGCAGATGGTTCTACATAGAACCTTTTTTGAAAAAGGTTCCACGATTGTTACAAGCCAAAGAACACTTTTTTGCTAAGAGTGTAAATATAACAATTTTCAAAAAGGTTCTATATAGAACCATATACAACACATTCTCCCTCAATCTGAAGAACACTTTCATAATGCAAAGAACCCATAAATCATGTAAAGGGTTTTTTGAGTGTTCATGGTTGTATACAGAACTATATACAACACATTCTCCAACAGTCTGAGGAACCATTTCACCCTGCAAAGAACCCTTTAATCAGGCAAAGGGTTCTTTGAGCATTCATGGTTCTATATAGACCTAAAGAACCCTTGAAGAGCCATCTTTTTAAAGAGTGTAGCGTACATGTCTGACATTTTAGATTTCCTTCAGTCCACATGAGTTTTATTCATGATATATATTTGTTGTTCTATCAGCTGTTACTCTTTTGAAAAACTCTCAGTACAACCAAAATGTTACAAATTGTCCCCCCTGAAAAACATATGGCACTTTATGAAACAAGAAATGTGACAAAAGAGACCCTGAACTGTCAAGCAGCTGAAATCCTATATCAGGTAAGAACGGGAAAACATGCCCCCGTCCTTTTTTGGAACGTGTTGCTGCCATCAAATTCAAAATGGGCACATATTTTTCAAAAAACAATAAATTTTCTCAGTTTTAGCATTTGATATGTTGTCTTTGTACTATTTTCAAATATAGAGTTTAAATGATTTGCAAATCATTGCATTCTGTTTCCATTTACATTTTCACAGCATCCCAACTTTTTTTGGAAATGGGGTTATAATATAAAACCAATTTTCTTTCTATATATATATATATTGATACAAACATAATCTCATATTTCCTTGCCCATACTTAACTATAAAATAATATTCTGTCGCATTAAGTGACTTCATGAAGAGCGACAACATTTAAGCCTTCAGAGGAGCACAGACTGAAAGCTACTAAGTTCTGCTTTTGTTCAGTAGTGATAACTTGCTGCTAGCACTTTGCTGAATCCGACAGCCTGCTCTAATAAGAGCACAATACAGTCCATTAACAGAGAATATAGAATATAGACCAGTTTAAAAGTTAGTTTACGGTAAACAGCAGTGCAGCCAGTGGCTGTGGGTTCTGTACAACTATAGAAGTATAAAACATTTCGTCACCAACCTGAACTGCTGGGCTATTTTTCCTCATCACACTGAACGTGTTGCGCATGAATGGAATAAGTCATGTTATGGGTGTCTTTGGTATAACAATGCTGAATACAAGCAGATGCAGGCAGTTTCTTTTTCAACTCCCAAACCCTTTACAGATGAACGCTTCATTCTCAGCAT